GCAGACTATGAAAGCAGCCTTAGACGCGGCCGCGCCCATATGGTCTGGGAGCCGACCGTCTATGAATGCGCCCCCAGGTTTAACTTAGACATGAATGTTACCTTAATCCCGAGTCGTCAGCACAGAAAGCTACGTTAGCACCGGCTCCCTTCCTTTTCCCGACATTCAGCACGCGGCACATGGTGCTATCAAGCCTAAATCAAAATTCGAGGAACACGGTAGTGCAGCGAATTCGGCCAAGCTTGCCGTGCCTTGTGAAATACTCACGTTACATTATAGCTGACGTCGTGTTACAATAGACTGCCAAAAGGGCGATAGCTGGGAAACCCTGGTTTTTATTATACCACACGTGTGCTTTTCTACGTGGTTCCTGAAGTTCTTCGCACATCAATAGATTAGCATTTATTTTATCAGTGCTAGAAGTTTGAGTGGCGGTGCAAACGTGCTCATGGGAACACTGAGAGATAAATTTTGTCGTGATAAGGCCTCATAAACACTTCCGGTCCGGACAACTTCAGTGCCGCATTTTTGCCCTGTCTTGGCGCTCATGTTCTAGAGGGGGGGGGGGGAAGACATTCGAACAGGACCGACTAGGACTAAGCCCAAGAGAGGGAAGAAGCGTTGGGGTGTACACAAATTGTTTACATCCTCTCCCAGAATCCCTCCCATTCCCTAAGGCTCAGTCCTAAGTACTGTAAGTGACTCATTCACTTGCAGTGCCCCCCTCCCCCGCTTGACATGGGCACCTGGGTGTGGTTCACTAGGACAAAAATCGACTTCCGCTCTTCGCGAAAACTTTTTGCTGCGGAAATCTTAGATCCACCCCTGATCAGGAGTTGACCTGTGGTTCTCGCAAAGAAAAGTTTCATGCTGCGAATAGCGAAGAACTCGCCTCCTGTCATGGGAACCACACCCTGGGCGCATCGATCTTCATTGTTATGAGGCTGACCTTGAATCTTATAGAGCGTTCAAAATTGGAGTGATTTTTGGATGAGTTTTTATAAGCTTGTAGATTTCTGAAAACAGATTGCTTAGCTGTCCCCTTCGAAGACGCTCCCTTCAGGACACTGTCCATGACTTTTATGAGCAATCATCCACTCAGTGATATGGTGTAATAAAACTCAAGCTTCTATCACCAGAAATTCGTCACCCGTTGATTATCAGTTATGTCATCGAGACCTGCAGACTTGGTGATCTGGTCTCCTACAATCTTTACCATCTCGTCGCTTCATGCGTTTTTCACATGGATGGTCGACGATTTTTAGAAGTAGTCAATCAGCAACATGACGACATAATTTTTGAACCATCTTGAAGTTTCGCCCTTTGTTTGGCCGCTTTCCGAGGTCCCATGATGAAGACGGAGGTGGAGAAGGGGATTCTTACCTAAGGCTGAGAGTCCGCGATCCGCTCTTCGCGATTTGCGCGATTTTCGCGATTTTCGCGATTTGGGCGATTTTGAATACTGCGAGGTGTTGTTTAATCCTGCTGCGAATTCTGCTTGGCAGTAAAGATTGGAAGACGAATGTTTGTGGTTCTACTTGTTTCATGTTCAATGTCTATTAGTTCATTGAAATGCTCTTGAATCGTTCCTTTTTTTTCAGGAATCAAACCCAAACCAATCACAAAAATTGCAAGTGCCCCATTTGAACAATTGAAACACTGGATATGAAACAAGTGGAATCATGAGCAGTCTCCATTAAACCATAACCATCAAGCAGAAGTGACGGCGGGATTGGAGAACACCTTGCAGTATGGATGGGGCACTTGTAATTTTCGTGGCCCGTCGCGCCACATGCGGACTGCGAGAATCCGCGTCCGAATCGCTCAGATCGCGAAAATTGCGCAACATGATGCCGGTACCTCTGCACTTCAACCTAGTCATGGAGAGACATGGCTACGAGACCCTCGCACGGATATGGCGGATCTACGCGAGCGGAATTCTGCCGATCAAAGCACTCATACTCCCGGTCGGTCCGAGAACTGGCCTTCCCGCATTGCCCAATGGGCGCGCCATCTGACCGGTACCTACCCCCCCCCTCTCACCCGCTTCTTTCCCCTACCTCCTGCGTCGTCTTGTGTTTTGAGTTCTGCAGCTCTTTGGTAGAGGACAGCATGAGCGTGGGAACAGACGGCATCTTGATAGGGACGCATAAACGCGCAAATCAATCGCAAGACATGGGTCTAATTGTCTCCGAGTGTTAGCCATTTTCTCAGTTGTTTCTTCATCATTGCACAACTTGACCATTCTCCTACCAGGCTCTTCTCCAGTCGCATCCGGCAGGCCGGCATCGGTGCGGTCGGTGCCGACGGTCGCCGACGGCGCCGACGGCGCCGACCGCACCGACAGTGTGAAGAGCGTCAACACGCGCTCTGGCGCATGACGCGTGCGCTGGGCGCAGATGGGGCGCTCCGGTCGATAATCTTGGTTTTGGTGTATTTCTTCGATGTTTTTTGCACTCACTTCATATGAATAAACAAAATTGCTTACGACCAACACACCCGGTATGGCCACATCCACCCGGAGTTGTGCGACGGATTCACGTCGCACAACACGGGTGGACGTCGCTCGCCCGCGGAACAACTGGAAAGTATTAATCAAGACATAAAAGGGCGCAATGTGGCTCGGAGGGGGGGCAGCCGCCGCGCGGGGCGTTGCGGCAACAGGAAATTCGCAAGCCAGGGGGAGTGTAGCCAATTCAGGGGGGGGGGGTGAGGGCAGTCACTTAGCATGCGTGAGAAGCTGAAATGTCCCGTGAAAAGCTGGAATGTTCGAGTTACACTACATCGCTGAGCCGCGCACCGACTTCCCCCCCCCCCCCGAGCCACATTGCGCCCATAAAAGAATAAGTATGAACAGGAAACACACGAATTAAAGCAACACGGCGCGAAAAAAAACATCGAAAAGCACAAGAAATACACCAAAACCAGGATTATCGATCGGAGCACGCGATCTGCGCCCAACGTTCGCGTCATGCGCCAGAGTGCGTATTGACGCTCTTCACACTGTCGGTGCGGTCGGCGCCGTCGGCGCCGTCGGCACCGACCGCACCGATGCGAACTATGAAAGCAGCCTAAGCCTATTTTCTTGGCTCTTTCCATCGTGAAAATGAATTGTATTAGTATATATGCTTCCATTGCCTCTGAGTTCCTGTTTTCTCCAGTATCTTGCTTCTATTCGAGCTCTCGCGGCTGGCCGGTTGCGTCAGTGAACGGCCGATTCTCTCGGACGTTTGGGCGAAGCATAAGTTGCGAGGTTGCTGTGGTCTGACGTACGGGGCTGCGACGGACACAGCAAGTCAACGACGACAACCAGTTCAGCCTACATCTAAACCTGTCGGAAGTGAGTCCGTTTTGAGAAGTTCAAGGGAAAGTTTTATTAAATTTTTCAATCTAGCTAGCTACTTTGCGTATCTTCTAGCTGCCCTCGACAAGAATAACGGCCACTAACACTTGCTCGCAACATTCGTACTAAAGGCATTTAAAACTGAATTATGCCCGTAAACCAAATTTTGTGCTCAAATGCGACGGCGTATCTCTTTCTTCTTTTTCCTGGAACCACAGTGGGAAGTGAATATCTGTTTATTTTTTTTTTCTCATTTCAGAGCTTTCGAGTAATAAGTAGTGCATACTATATTTTTCTTTGGAATAGATTGTAATACCTCCCGCTCTAGCTGTTACGAGTTGGGGTGTAGGTACTTAGGACAGAACGCGACTTTTTCGCTCTTCGCAACGCGACATCGCGCGGCAGGCTGGCGCACCCGTAGCGAAAACAACTACGGTATATAAGAACGCGCGATTGGAGCGCGATATTTGTGTCGGCTTTGATTGCGACAAGGAGTTTGAAGCTTAATAGCCATGGATTTGATAATGAACGAGGAAATGGTAACCAGAAGTGGACCGCTAACTAGCAGTGAAGAGGGAGGTAGGTTATTTTTGCAGAGATGGATGGTAGAGCTTCTGGAGAACCTGGAAGAGGAATGGTTGATGGACGTTTGATGAGACGACTGTAAACTTCTGCATAGGGGTTATTTGGCCCTGATCATTTGATATGACACTGGCTCATTTTGCAATTGTCATTCCGTCTGTTAACGCATCACGTTCTGCTTACCTAAGGCTTTCTCACCTCCACAAGCGCCTACGACTAAGCATAGGGAAGGGGAGTGAAACTCCGGAGTGGGTAAACCACGCACCGTGTGGCAAAAGTTGGAGTGTGTCACACCACAGGGGAATGGCCTACCCACTTTGGAGCCCTACACTACTCAAAGGCTTAGTCCTACTGCGAGGGGCGAAGACCGAAGATCGGCGCCGTAGCGCTATAGAAGGACCCCGAATAACCCCTATACAAAAGTTTAAAACGAATTTAGTGGGAAACAGTTGTGGCGCCACCTGGCCCCAAATGGCGCCAGCGTCCAAAATGAGTATCATATCCGTAATGAGGACAGAAGCGTTTCGTAAAAGATGTTATACCCTTATGCAGAAGTCTATACAACAATATGAACCCACAAAATGCAAGCACAAGCGGCCCTATTAAACCTCGTTCACCGATAATTCGTAAAACACCATTTTTAGTGGCATCGCCCGGAATCGTGTAAGTCACAAAACGTTTTCAATAATGAGACAGAATTAGTGATTCACCGCATTTATCAATACAATGGGTGTGAGCGCGGGCAAGTAAGGAATCAGAAACTTACAAATTCACGCATGCAAAAAAGCTGCTCCAATCGCGCGTTCTTATATACCGTAGTTGTTTTCGCTACGGGCCCAGCCTGCCGCGCGATGTCGCGTTGCGAAGAGCGAAAAGCGCGTTCGTCCTAGTATCGCACAGCCCTTTACGTTGTACGCGCACTTCGGTGTATTCGATAATAATATAAATCCTTCTCGATAAATATTTGATAAATACGCCTCTGGTAATCCTCGATTTTGATACGAAACCTGATCCCTGAAACTCATTGCCTCTCTATTGTTCATTTCTGTTTTGCATGTTGCTGGGCATCAACCGAGTTCAGTACGGTTTCATCATCCGCTAACTCTTCAAAGAGTACGTTAACCTGTCGCGAAGTGAGTCAGTTTTTGAGAAGCAAGGGGAAGTTTATTAAAATCTTTCAATCTAGCTAGCTAGCTTTCATATCTTCTAGTTGCCATCGACAAGAATAACTGACTAACACTTGCTCGCAATATTCGTACTAAAGGTATTTAAAACTGAATTATGCCCGCAAACCAAATTTTGTGCTCAAATGCGACGGCGACTCTCTTTCTTCTTTTTCCTGGAACCACAGTGGGAAGTGAATATCTGTTTATTTTTTTTTCTCATTTCAGAACTTTCGAGTAATAAGTAGTGCATACTATATTTTTCTTTGGAATAGATTGTAATACCTCCCGCTCTAGCTTTACGTTGTAGCGCGCACTTCGGTGTATTCGATAAATGAATTAATAAATAACCTTCGATAAATAAATTGATAAATAGCCTTCTGGGTATGTTCCTTCGATTTTGATCGAAACCGATCCTGCTGAAACTTCCTTGCTCATATTGTTCATTTTTGTTTGCATGTGTTGCTGGCAGCAACCGAGTTTCAGTACCGTTTCATCAGTCCGCTACTCCTTCAACAGATTCGGAGAATGACATGTGCAAGGCGGTAGCAAGAAGAGGCAGCGCGATCCCTTCCATTGAACGGGACAGTGAAGCAGAGAACACGGATTGTGAAGGTATGCTTCTCTACTGAAATGCCGACTTGAAAATTCGGGTTTTGCTCACTTTTTTGTAGTTTGTCACTTTTTACTAACAACTTATACGGCTATGTCACTTTTTACTAACAACTTATACGGCTATTTTCAGTCACATTCCGTGATCAGGATAACAGCGATGGTGACCGTGAACCAGAGCCTAGTCAAGTATGTTGTTCATGGAGAGTTCTGTTTTTTTTTTGCTGTTCTTCTTCCTTTTTTCCCTGATCATTCGGCTAAATAGAACTTGGAGAGCCTGGCCAAATTTTTTCTTGCTTCCGATAACGAGGAGGGGAATTGTGGAGCGGAGGGCGCCTGCATTAGTTCCAGTTTTATGGTGAGGAGTGTAGAGGTGCGACAATTATTTGCTTCCGCTTCTACATCAACTTCTGAGCTTCCTTACTCTACAAAATCGGAATTACTTCAGGCAGCCCGAGCCCCTCTCCCTCCCCTTGTTGGAATAGACTAAAAATTCAAAGTTTAAGTTGCTGGAGGTCATTTTGGCAAATGTCGTGTGATTTATACTGAGATCCACACCTGACTGAAATTGCTCATAGCTACAGTTCAGTGACTTTCTAAGTGAAGAGGGAGCACAGTAAGTCCTGTGCGCAGTGCTCAAAAATGTTTCTTGATTTCAGCAATTTGTTCTGTTGCGATATGACGCCTCGCGTATGCATCTCTTTTCAGGTTTTTGAAATTCTTTATGATTACGAGGCTCGGAATAATGACGAGCTTAATCTCACTGCGGGTACGACTGTGAAGTTGATAAGAAAAACGTGAGTTGCATAAATAGACAGTTATTGCGGATTTACTTGGTCTTCACATATGTTCACCGCCATGTATTCGGATGGACCACGAGATTAATCCGTTGTATTCTCTCTAGTGAGGAAGAGTCATGGTTTTACGGTGAACGCGAGGATGGCAAACGAGGCTTATTTCCTGGAAATTATGTTAAACTTTTAGGTGAGTGTAGAGCAAAATATTGTTTCTCACTGTCCAATCATAGTTTGACAATGCGAGTTATTTTTGAAGTTCAGGCTCTGATGCCAAGATAATAGCTGCTGATGAGATCTCGGAACCACCCATTGGAAAAGAGTCTATTGGAAGGGGTGCATCAGCCGAAGTTTTTAAGGTCGTTTATCGAGGAGAGGTACTGTTGTATGTTACTTCTATTTCAATTTCACGAACTTTTTACGTATTCCTTTGATGGTTTTCGTGAATGTTATTTTCATGGTTTCAAATTTAATTGTTACTGTTCTCCGTGCTATTGTTTCTGTTTCTGTAGTTTTGAGCAATTTGCATTTTTTCGTTCTTTTGAATCAACTGTTTTTAGCTCGTCGCTTTGAAGAAAGTACGTGATAAGTCGGATATTGAAGGTTAGTTTCGAAACCAACCTTTCGATTTTCTTACCTTTGTTAGAATAATTTTTTTACAGCTTTAAAAAGAGAGGCTGTTGTAATTAATCGACTTCGGCATCCTAATATTATTCATCTGCTGGGGGTTTGCCTTGAAGAACCACGTATTGGCTTGGTTCTGGAGCTCTGCGACGGTTGGTGATTCTTTTCAATTCCGAGCTCGTTTGTTTCCTTATTTGAAGAATGGTAGGAATTTGACAGAATTAGCATATGCCAGCTTACGACACCGTTTTATGCGTTTTGCATTTATGTTCACGAGAAGACACATTGTCTTCAAATCGTAACAGCCAGACCTTGCAGAAAGTGTGTAATGGTTCTTTGCTTCCGTTGAAAAAAGAATACTTCAGGTGGCTCTTTGAAGAGACTCTGTCAAACCCTGGTCAACTCGTTTGTTTCTGTGCGAGTACTGGTCGACTGGGCTGCGCAAATAGCGTCAGCAATGAAATGTCTTGCCTCGGAGAATCTCATGCATAGAGACCTCAAAGCAGACAATGGTACGTCTTTTAGTATGTAGACCATTAAGCTTTGAAATGGAGTTGCTGAATTTGGTCCAAAATCAGTGAACATGATGGTTGAAGCGTGAAACGGTTTTGACGACGCCGTAGGTAGATCAGGCCTTCGTTGGGGGTAGGTTGAGACTATCTCGCAACCGAAATCGCTCTGCCCCCAGCCACTATGTTCACTGCTTTTGGGAGGCAGGAAAATGAACAATGTGTAAGAACACACGTTATCTGGTTTCTGTGGAACTTTAGCTCTCTTGAATCAAGTCATCCGCTTTAGCACATTGTGAGTGATGGTTCCCACATTTGGGAAATCTTTGAATTGACACTAAAATTCATCGCTCACCGTTTTTGGTAATAGATAACGTAAGCGAGAAAAAATTGTTGCTGAGGGGAAGCACATGAGAAATTTCGAAAAGGCACCAAATATACGAAAGTTTTGGGATGGGAGAGGTTGGGTATGCGGAATTCTATAGCTTTTCAGCGAACGGCATAATTCGTCTCCCGTCGGCCAGTGCCATAACAAGTTCGCGTATATGTGAACTATATTTGAGGTTTCCATTCAGTCTTCTTGCGTTCATTTCATAATGACATCTTTTTTTCCCTAGCAGAGCTGTCGCGTGGCTTAAATCCCTATAGCATAGCCAAAGTATCTCTACCACTTGAATTTTTTTAGTGCTTTTGATGTCGATGCCACGCATTTTTAATACCCTTGGTGAGAGTGTCGAGTGTACTACGTAGTAAGTTTACAACTGAGAAGAGGAATGGCGTGAGTGCATCACCCGTACAGAGTTCTGTTCAAACTGCGTTTGTTCATATCGTCTTCTTTATTTAGGGTGAGCAAGAATTATAAAGAACACCGACATATTGAGGTGGTGGAAGTTTACGAATGAAAAACAATATCATTCCTTGGAGGGACCGCTTTCTGTGTTGAAGCATAAAGGAAGTTTTCCGAGGAACTAATTGTCCACGCTGCGTGGGTAGGATTCGAAGGCTTTACGAGCGACTTTTAACCTAGCCGATGTTCCGATTACCCTTATAGTAGTGTCTTCGGCACACTCATCACTGAGCTTTTCAAAGGATTCCGGTTGGGAGAAGTATGTGGCCACTCTGCGATAATCCGTTGGCACCAATTTTGCGTAATCTTGGCACTGTGAGTTAGCATGCTCAATCTTGCTTTGATGCCCTGTATTTTCTATTGAAGTTCCTCTTGGTGTAAGGCACCAGCTATATTTGAAGGAGTTAGAGATAATTTGTGCTGTCCAGCTTCATCTCTTGAGTAGCGGAGGTTTAAAGTCTCTTCACTTGTGATTTCTGCAAAAGTCATCAGTGAATAGCTGAAGCTGGCTTTCAAGTACCAGTTGTCCAGTTGACTTCTTATCCAACACTGGTCCGAGAGCAGAATATCTTCGTATGAGGGGAAAGATCGCTAAATGAAAGCTATAACGGAATCGAGACAAGCTTTGTTAGCACCTTTGCTTTCCATTTAATTTGCTCGCATCTGTCATAAGTTTTGGCTATTTCCATACTTTTAACCTTCCTCTTGAGGTGTGTGCTAACAATAGGTCGCAAGGAATTGCTACTTAGCAATTTCAGCTACCAAACGGCAGTTGAGCGAGCGGGATTCTGCTGTCTCTTCGTACGTGTTTTAGAGATATGTGTTGCTCGTGGAGTTGTACAAGCGATCTCCCACGTCAAAGGTACTGAGGCTAGTAAGCTGTGACTGGTGAATAGTTTTCAACTTTCGTGGTGGTGGTCGACGGAAGTTTCATGGAGATTGAATCGTCTATGATTCATTGCAACAAGATTGGTTAGCTTTTGCGGAGCGAAGAAGTTATTGTTTCTGAAGAGGACTTCACGATAAGGACGGAGGTCGAAGATGGAGTAACTTACCTAGTTGAGAGACAGGCGGACTTTACAAGATTGCGAACCGGCTCACGATTCGCATCGAGGGTCATACCCCCTGCTTTCCAGCATGGTTTCCCCAGCGTCGCATTTTGTGCGCTATTGGCGCGTTACGCCCACTTTCGCGTCCTCTCGTGTCTGAGTCTCTAGCCGTTCAGCAGAGAGAGCGTTAGCGTTGAAGAGGGCAGCACCGATGAGAGTCGCATCAATGCGCAAATCAACGGGCAAGGAAGGGGTCCCATTTCTCGGGTTCTAGGCCATTTTCTCGGTTTTCTTCTTTCGTGCATCACTGACCATCTCTAACTTATTTCCAATGGGCTGCCTTTTCACCGTGAAAGCCGCCTCTGATAGTTGTCCATCCCGGTTTTGAAGCAAAATTGAAGATAAAGCACTGACCACGAGTTTTCGAAATAACGCAAAGAATATACATCAAAATTGCTGGTGTTTGAAGTTAGAGATGGTGTTTGAAATTGAAAATTCCGAGCAACACGCTCTTCTTACCGTAATTTGTCCACCCGTTACATTATTCACCGCATTTCTTATTCACTCTGATAGGTTCTTGTTTAAGTGGCTCTTTTATCACTCCCTTCTAATTGTTGCTGGGAACGATCTAATTATCGTTCATTGGAAATGGCTGTAGTTCTCTGTCCTCTCCTAGGATGATCTCATTTACCATTTTCCCAAACTTTACTTTCGAGTCCGATTGCGGGGTTCTCCTTTGGAACCGTGGTATAATAGCGGTTTGTTTTTCTTTCCTTCATCAAAGTGCGATTCTTTTAAGAGTTTCTCGCTGTAGCGTGCTGGTCTTTAATGTGAAGTTGTAGCTTTTGAGATCAGTGTGAACGATAAATATAGTTTTTTAACCGATGTTCTGTTTTTCAGTGTTGGTAAAAGAGCGCGTGTGTTTGTGCAACTATGCTGTTTCTACGCCTACAACATCTACTCAATCATTGCATAATGGAAATCAGGTGACCACGGTAAGGTTATTTCTTCAAAATTCGTTTGGAGTGTCCATAATGCACTATTTCAGACCGATGGATGTTGTCAGAGTTGCGGAGGAAGGGCATTGGATCGCCTGACAATGAAGATTACCGATTTTGGAAATACGAAGAAAATAAAGGACGAGGATGAGAAACGGTGATTACTCCTTCCTGATAAGAAGTCTAGTTCAGAATCATGCTAGTAATGTTCTGTTCAGCCAAAGCTTAGTTGGTACGTACGCCTGGATGGCTCCGGAAGCCTACAAATGCCAAAAATATTCTGAAGCTTCGGATGTTTGGAGTTTTGGTGTGGTGTTGTGGGAGCTGTTAACGCGTAAAGATCCTCATCAGGGACACTTGCCTATCACTGTAGCCTACCTCGTGAGTTTTCGTGTCTTAGTTCTTTGCCTTTTGCTTGTCTTGAATTCGCTGCAGTTTTTTTTTTCGATGAATAGTAATGTTTCAAGGTCTCTACAAGTGGATTTGATTTGCCCATTGCTGACGATTGTCCTTTAAAATGGAAAGACATAATGCAGAGCTGTTGGAATGTGAGTGCATTCTTCTTCCTCTTTTTATGTGGTCTTTTTTATAATGAGATCAGATCAATAACTCCCATGCTTATTTCTAAATTTTGCTGATTCTTCTGTATTGCTTCTTATCTGAAGTAAGGAGTGCTTGTTTTGACTGGTTTAATTATAGTACATATCTTTTCATTGCTTAGAAAATTTGAAACACCTTATGTGAATCAGCGTGCAAGGTTTTGCAATATCCTCCTTCCTCTCCTTCCATCCCTTTTGTTAAGCCTATATTCATTTTAATTCACAATTTCTATCCGACTACCCTATTTCCATTTTCTCATCAATCATTCAAAAATATAAGGGGGATGGACATATATTCCTCATCGCGTTTTCTTTATACAATATAACTAAATTAGCGTCGAAGTGAAAGTAAAGTCAATGCGTTGAGAATTTCACTGAAGAACTTCACTTTATTAGGTGGAACCGGAGCAACGTCCAACTTTTGCGAAGCTGCTGGACTTGTTCAACGAGTATCGTGAAGAACTCGAACGAACAACTTTCTCAGTGAGTTTTACGGCTTCTCTATCTCGAACTTCATCTTTTGTAATTAAAGGAATCTTCCACGGACCATGGACCAGTGGGCGGGACCGGAAGTGGTTTTGCGACGAAATGCATGGTAGGTACGGATCCACGTTCATGGGAAGGTTTGAAGTGAATCCTGTTCACGTTCGTGCGTTCGACACGTGGATCCGTACCTACCATGCATTTCGTCACAAAAACTTCCGGTCCCGCCCACTGGTCCATGGTCCGTGGAAGATTCCTTTAAAGCATCAAATGAAGTTTGTCTCCTACATGTGAATTAACAACGATGCATTGTGTAAGGTCACGCTGTGCGGTAATTAGCCGAGATAACAAGCGCACGGAATTGGATCAAACGACTAAAATCAACCTGTGTTTTTATAGTCAGGTCAAACTTCATTTTGGTAGTTTAGGAAGAACAAGAAGCTCTTGTACAACGTGTACGTGCTGACATTAAAAAGGAAATCACGGAGGTTTACGTGAAGTTGAATGAGAGCGGTCAAGAGTGAGTCTGTTTCTCCCGACTGAAATGTTGATGTTGTTGATTGCTTATCTTCTTCTTGATTTTACTCTGACAAACATGTTTCTGCAACTTGAGAGACATGTTTTAAGCAAAATGCGTCGTCTGTGTCACAAGTTGTATGAGCAGTTGGATATGAGAGGTGGAGATAGCTCATCCAAGTCGAAGGAAGCATCAGCGCCCGAAGTACGAGAACGTCGTAAAGGCAAAAAGAAGATTGAGAAGCAGGACATATCCCAACCACAAGGTTTGCTATATGTATTCCATTAGTTGTACAATTACTATTACGGGGAAAGGCGTGGTCGCATTATTAAGTTCCAGATTTTTAGCGCGATGCACTGCTAAGAAATGCCACAGCTTAATACATCTTACGGCCATATTTTGACAACTTATACCGTGCACGATTTCCTCCATATAGTCTAGCTGTTCAATCTTTTATAGGCAACAATTGACCAACTCCTTCATTTAGAAAATCGTAGACGTAGGAACAAGCCTAAGAAGCCAAACGAGTCTAAAAGAAAAAAAGCTTTGTTTTCGAAAGCGCTAGCAGTGTGATGTTTCATCATTCCCAAAACCTTCGACGTTGTTTCTTTGAAGCGGGGTTTTCATTTTTTTTCCACAAGTTATAGCCGTTTTTTATCGGCAGGCGTGTTGTACTTTCTCTCTTCCAAATGCTATAGTGAGAAACAGGATGAAGATTGCGAAGTAGTTGCGATATTATTAGTCCGAAACTCGAATATTGCGTGCTGTACTTAGCTAAGCGGATCGTTGATGTATTTTTACATAATTCTATGCTCCCTTATTTTTGATCTAGCCTTCATGACGCTATCTTAAGCTTGACTCTGTGAAGCAAGTGGTGACAGTATAGTGATTTATGTGCGTAGTTGTATTTCATCAGTGCTGCCGCCATCGCTTTGTTATACGTCGAATACTCTGTCAAGCTTTGACAATGTTTTCTTGCCTCCAGAACATTTTGATCGGCGTACAGGTGGAGAGAACCTCACGACTGGGTGTTGTTTTTATGAGTACTTCTTTGTCAAACTTCTTATCTGCTTTGTGTTGTGTGTGTGATGTGATCTATCCCTTTCATCCAGAATGTCGTCATTTGATGTCGATTCAACAGCCAACGTCGAGCAAAACTGATCTAAAAGTGATCATGTGTGAGTTTACAATCTTTTTTGAGATCTCAAGGCTTTTTCGGTTTGGTTGATTGTGGAAGATTTCTTCCATATTGCATGTGTAATGTGGTGATCGTGGTCGTACAGTGTTGTTATTTTGTAGTTGATCGACGACCATCCAACGGACTTACAAAGCCAGCATCTAGCAATGGATTTGGGACATTACCACGTAGAGAGAAGGAACGTGTGGACGCTCACCGAGCTTTGCAGCCGAATCTCTCCATTAGTTATCCCAATCTGACTGAAATAGAGGATAATTTCGGGAAAAAGTGCGGAACGTTACAACGGAAAGATGCTATCCGCAAGAAGCGACCTGCATTGCCACATGACGACAACGAGCGAGTTGCACAGCCGGTATATGACCCTGATGGTTTGTTGGTTGTGTTGTTTTTATTCTTTCAATCTCCCTTGTCCTCTTACTATCTGCGTAATGCAACCCATGGCAGAGAACTACGTACGGTTGCGAATTTCCTTATTGTGTTAGCATACGAAATGTACATCGGCGTTACATATTTTGGCAGTTGTTGTCTTATATCTACAGTTACGCCACAAATCACTTTGGCAGGCCTTTGTAGCTCAGCAACCTGAGAGTAGGTATATCAAAAAAAAATGAAAATGTCTAGTGCTGCTCAATTCTTTCATCAAATCATGATATTCTTGATGTGAAATTTTGGAAGAAATATCCCTACAGATTTTCTCTATAATATCCTGTTGTATCTCTGCATCTTTTGGAGCGTGGATTTTGATATTTCTGGCCTATGTTTCAGCAGAGAATCGCCCACACCATCTCCCACCTGGACGAGTGGGTAATTCAGGAAGACGCAGCGAAGGCACGCATGAGGACTCAAGTAAAGTGAAGAAGTGGTGGTTCTCGAAATTTCATGTGGTGAGTGTTTCAAAATGTTTCATGACAAGGTTGCTAGGTTATTGGCAAAAAAAAAACTTGGCCCCAAAGAATAATCGAATCCACAAGTTCCGCTTTTTATGCATTAGGTTTTCGAGAAAATCGTTGCGCATTTGTCAACTTTTTATCATTATTTTCTTCTTTAGTACATTCAACAATTGACAAAGACGTATACACGTGTAATCGCCGAAACATTGCTCTTCAGTAGGTAGCTTCTGGCTGCCGGTAGTTCAGAAATCCTAAGCTTTTGAAACGAAAGACTAGATGAAGTCCTCCCCATAAGTCCGGATCATCGGTCTCGTCTTTCGGTTGCTTCAACTGCAGCAGAGGCTTGTGGTAGTCTGTCTATGACAGGCTTGCTCAACACACCAGGCGGGTCAGGTCGTCCTATAACGAGCATAGAGACTTTGTTGGACCTTCTTCGTAACTAGTGGGTGAGCGTTGTCAAGATAAAGTAAGCTTTGCCAGATCTTACAAGGGCTCGGCGGCGAGCTGATCCATTTACCAACTTCACCAAGAGTTATTGTTCACCAGGAACAGTAGAGTTCATTGGCGGCAACTTCCCGTCAGCGAACCCTTGCAGCCTCATGAGCTCACAAAGTTGCCTCCCAGGTTGCAGTTCTGGAATCGGCGTTGCAATCTTTTGTTCTACGCGTCTGAACAGTCATGCTTTCGCTTGTGGTTTACGTGGAGACCCACCTTCTTGTACTCACCAAAAAATTGTCGCGTCAAATTAGGATACAGTTGATGCAAAGTTCTCTGCCTTCAAAGGTGATGATCTGCCCGATCACAAAATATCCTTTCGTCATAATTTCACTTTTTTTCAAGGCGGTATTGATGATCGGTTATTGTGCTCTGATAATACCAAAAACTCTGATAGTTCAGGTGCCTTGCACCAAGGATCCTTTCCAATCCGCTTCAGAATACGCTCCTCATTTAGTGTAACGGGCCGGCCGGTGGTTTTTTTTCTCATTTATCGAACTTCGGTAACCAAACAAGTGCTCTGTTGTGGAAATCAGTTTGGAGGTCCACCGCAGCACGTAGGCCTCGTACTGCGACGCTTTAATCGACGCACTCTGTGGGTGTATAGAGCAGCAGCAGTCTTACTTTCAGAAAAGATGGCTTTTTCAGCTTCAAAAATTGCGATGCTGCATCACAAATGCTATGGTGAGAGCATTGACCACCGCTCACATACGTTTTACGTCTACGTCTCTGCCTTCACGCCGCGTGACAGGCATCCTGTGTCCTGGGTACCCGAGGGTCAGGGGCAGCTGGATGAAGGAAAATTCGTAAGGAGCGCCCTAGAACCCTGAAAACGCGATCCTTTTTTACCCGTTGTTCTTTGCATCTGCATTGATGCTACATGCTGCCCTCCAGTGCCATTACTCCTGACGGCTGTGAACCGCGAGGCTGAAAGCCCTAGCAGATATCCATTGGTGTTATAGTGTTTAGTTTGATTTTTTACTTTTAGTTTCGTCGCGGTAATCATTCAATCGATTCTGACGAAGCACCACCATCCGCTCGTTTATCACCTGTGTCGGCTAATCCTCTGGCTCCACCTCAACAAGGGAGAACTACACCAAGCAACTATGAGGTTGATAATTATCAACAGTCGTCAACTATAGCTGTTTCATCATTTCTTGCTGTGGTAAATGATACTTTCTGGTATAGTAGTTCATTGGAAATCACTTTCAGCATTTATCCCCTCGTCACCGATCATCAACTACTGGTGCAGATGATTATACAAAACTAGTATCTCCTTCCAAGTGAGTTCATTTGTTAATTTCGGCCAGAGTATCAATACGAGCTAACCGTTGTTTTGAAATAGCCGATGGGTCAAACTCCTATATGGCATGCTTTCAGAGTAAGTCGCAATACTCCAACTGACAAGACCAACAAGCGTCACGACATTCAGTACACGCAACAAACAACGTAAGTGTCGTGTTGTTTTAGGATCGTAAGAAGAGCTGATTCTGTCTTCTAGTTAGTGCTCATCTGAGCTAATTAGATCATTGGCTGCGTTCATGACTCCTGTTCATCTTCAAGTATTGCAGAAGATACGTGAAGCCCGCGATGCACCAACAATCGGGCTCGAATGGACTTGGAGCTGGAGTTTCGCATGATCCAGCGGGACGTTCTCCTAGACGAGAAATAGGTCTCGATGACATGATTCCCACAACTCCTGAGGGCACTTATGGTAAATTTCAACTCAATCCTCACTCCCGTAATACGTGGTATGAAAACAGATAAAATATAATAAGTTGTTACCCTTTTACTTGTTTTATTGGATAACTGCTGTTTTACGCCGCAGTTCGCGTTGCGAAAGTTATCACAAGAATGCTGAGTTGTGGGCAAAACTTTCGCCCCAGCCGGGATTAATAAGTTGTTTGAGTCGTGCAACAGAAGATGGACGTAAACGACTCTTGGTCAGCTAGAGATAGTGCCAAGTAGTTAGAATCGCGTTGGATGACTACATCCCTCAATCGTCGAGAAAGTATAGAGTCTATGAACCAGCGAGGAATTATGGCTCACTGAGGTGATGTTCTCCATGGCTTGGAGAAAACAAGTAGATAACTCCACATGATGAAGAGTCATCTGGAGATCATCCGAAGTATTGTGGAAGGACGAAATGTGAAGAGTGCAGTTGAGAGGCTTGCACTGTTCGCTGCATTGTTTCATTTGCAAAGAAGGGTTTTAAATCACGGCCCACTGCCGGAAGAAGTGGAGGACGTGGACCATCACCAATTGCAGCTGCAGTTGACCGCTACGTTTTGCAGTAGGTATGAATAGACTGCCAATCTCTGGCTGCAGATGCCATCACAGTTTAGGCTTAGGATGGTGGGAGCCCATCGCTGAATAATAGTGGTATTACGACCGCAGGGTATAATCATGGTCCATCGACCATAGGCGGAAGCGCCACCGATGGTGCCGAAGGATTTGCAATGGATTCACAACACGCATTTGCAGGAGCATACTCACCTCAAATCTCCCAAGCAGGATATACTCCCCGGTCGACGCTATGGTGATGCTGTACTCCTTCCCATCGAGCGTCTCTTCAGGGGTGCGTTCGGTCCGAAGTACCTTTCTATGTAGGACAATGTGCGGTTGCATAGAACAGCCTAGGTGAAGAGTTTTCGATTAAGATGATATTCGGCGGTCGGTCCCCTTTCCTCTGACTCAAATGCCATCGTAAACCTGCGCAAAGTATCGAGGAGAGCTAATGCGACACGTCCAGATAACCCAATAACTGTCTACCAGTTCCATTCATGGTTTACGAGAAATGGAAAGCGTCTCCAGAGGGACTTCCGACTAACCTTGTGAACAGTAAAGGAGCACGTTTCATAGCATACACTTCCGATCGTAGTGTTCACTCACTCTGTTACGAAACTTGTCTAGTCTTTTAACAGACCATCATGAATTGCTGTGACTTTTTTTTGCACACAGTGTGGCCATTTTTGCACACAGTGTGGCCAAAATTATAGTCGAAATACTATTAAGTGTTTCTCTTCCTCCCTAAAAAGATTCAAAATTTTATTAAGGAATTTTTTTTGTAATTTTTGGGTCCGAATGACTTAGAGTTTCAAAAATGGATATACATCGTACCATAATTTGAAGGGAACTGACCAATTTGAAAACATACTGCGAAAGAAGCATTTCAACGAATACTTCGACCGCTATTGTATTTACGATGATTCCAGGCCCGCCGCCTATCCCTGTGAAACACCATCATCGTCGTACCCCATCGGACGAGAAAGGTGTTTCCCGACAGAACGCGTTTCATAATGGGCATGCTCCACGGTCACCATATCATGCCCCGTCACAGGTTTTTTTCCTTTTTCCTATATCTTCCTAAGCGGGCGAATTTTGCAAAGAATTTATGTTTCAGCCAAACCTCTCTACGATAATTCCTCCGTCAACATCCTCATACGAAGAGCCTTACACCATGCTGAACACTCGAATACCTGCTCCATCTACAGATCCCTACATTGCTTGTCCCGCACCCCACGTAGAAGTCGTGAATAATGTACCATATTTGACGATGACACCAAAGAATGGCATCGCTTCTTCTGCTAACGTCATCTCACCTTCACCCCCTGGTGCTACTGTACAAAATGATCAATATATCCACTGCCCCGTAAGTTTTTTTTTTGACAGTAATCTAAAAAATGTATCGTTATGTACATATTTCCTTCGAATTCAGCGTAAGCCGGAGCGTCCTATAACTCTAAATCTTACAAATGCCAATACACCAGAGAGCAGTGGAATAAGGTAATGATTCAAGTTTGTGTCCCATTTTGCTTTTTTTTCTGTTTTTTTTTCGCTGCTGGTCTTTGGAAGTGTTTTCAAAACAAGAACGATTCCTTAGTACGTTGAATTGGGTTCACCGTAATCCACGTTGGGACTGCAGCGGCAGATGAACTTCAAAGCACGCAAAAATCCAGAACACGGGTTCAAAGGTCCTTCAAACGGGCCTAAGCAAAAGTGGTTAACCATTTGCTCTGCGACTACTCTAGAGCAGCTGACCAAAATTTCTGGCAGCGTTAGCCTCGCGCGAGAAGGTTCCAGCTGCGGCCGCTCCACCTCACTACTGAATTGACTCCCTGCCAATGCTAGCGATGGTGCTCCGTACAACTGACACCCAATTACTCGTCGTAGAGTAAGCAGGCGGAAGCGGCAACAGATCACGTTAAAACAACGCTACGTGGGTTACGGTGGAACCAATTCAACGTGCAAAAGAATCGCTTTACCGATTTCAGTACGGGCGGAAGTTCGGCGTTTTCGAACTTATCTCTTGCGGAAGCTGCTCCTATGATTCATGCCCCACCACCTCCACGTCCACCTATCATTCCTCCAAGAGAGGGGTCTATAGGATTGTGAGTGTTTCAGAATTCCAAATTTGAAATTATCTTGGTGAGAAGAATTGCGAGTGTCAAAGCACGGCTCATTTTGGGTAGCACACATATGGGGAACAAAGCGCGGTTTTAGGCCTACACATGCGAGAAAGATGCATACTTATTAGTGGCTTTCTTTCCTTGACGTGATGTTATGAGTTTTGACATTTCACAAACATACTGGCTGTATTGTTCATGTTCGTGTCTTGGATTCATTCTCTAGAAGAGGGTATACACTGAGATCTCTTTTTGCATAGTGTAGATATGGGGCGTCGAAATCTTTTATGCGACGACGTTTCAGGCTATCGTGAGTCAATAGTGGTACTAAATGGAACAGCACATTGAACATCGAACTTGTACTATTATATCAAAAATTATATTATATCAAAAACTGACCGACCAACTGTTAGGAATCGGGCAAGCGGCTTGCTTTCAGGGTTGTCGTGAATAGCTGAAAAGTTGTGAGTTGGACGTAAGCGAGAGTAGTGGGTGGGGCTCATTTCCCTAGCTGCACACTTGATGGTAGAAGCAAGTGCATCTAGGGCAGCAAGGGTAAGAAGATACTGAAATGGCAGGGTATCGAATTTCATCATCTTCGCCCTTTCTCTCATTGGGTGGTCTCTTTTCTGAATGAATGGCCAGCTACAGATGGCATGTGAGAGCCCCCTCCCCCCACATGCTTAGGTCCCACTAGCTTTTCAACGCGGCATTGCTGGCATCAACCCACCCCTCTTACCCAATTCCTAACTATTGGTCAGTTGTTGATACAAATTCGGTATGCAATGTATTTGTCCACTCGGTGTGACTCACCATAGATTGTGTTTTGATTTCATTTATAGATCTGAGGAGGGCTCGAAGCCCAAAATGTCGTCACATGAAACATCTTGAAGAGTTTCGTATCAATGTCACGCGAAGAGCATTCATACATTGAAGCTCAGGAACCCCATGAGATTGATCGAAATGAATAATTACTACAAACCCAAGCACTAGGAATACTTACTCTTCAGTGTTCTTCGGGTGATTACGGATTGTCATTGACTCCTGAGGAAAATTAGTGAAACATTCTTCATATATTTTTTAACATATAATTTGTGGTAATTCATCACAAAAAAACCGATGTGAATCTGCACCTGGTGCTTTTAAATGAGTTAGAAATTCTCATAAACTCAGGCACATATCGTTTGCACTAAACAATGCATTTCATATTTACAGACCACTTTGCGAGTAGATGATTCCGCAGTGAAAAGACTACCAATCTTCTACACATTCCCTATAGACGCTGTCTCTTGAATATATTCGATGATTTTGTACTCGGGTCATAATGTTCACTCATTATCTCGACTCGACATTTGTATAACAATTGTGTACAAGGGTAAGGTAGAAACTTCATGGTGCAAATTTTTTAATACTTACACGTTTTGTAAAGTTTTGTATTTATTGCTTTTCACACTGGTTTTATATCATACTAACAACTTTCAAGTCTAATATTTTCGTGATACAAAGTAGTCAGTCGTACAACGGTTTTGTGATGTGCATATGTGTAGTACTAATGCTGTTGTTTATTTTCTTGTTTGCGGCATGTAGTTTGACTTGTGAAAAGTTTCATTGTACTTCCTGCTGTAGTTTTTTTCTACTTAGGGCTTTTTGTAGGCATCTAGATCTTTCCAAATTTTGTTGTATATTTATATCTTGAAGTTTGCTTGACAAAGATATATCATCATTCAATCCACTACTCTCTCTAGTCACGGTTATTTTTTATGGCGTTGATTGTTGGCCTAAGCGGTGCCAATTTACATCGCACGTTGTCATTTGCGAGTTTTTTTTTACATAAAAATTAATTTTTAAGTGTTGTGTGCACCCTTGGAAAACCAGGGTTGAGGCCGCTGCTTCACTGTGTGAAAAACATGCGCTCGTGACAACACTTAGATAGAACCGTGAAGGCGCTTGCAGCTGCATGAGTCCGATGTGGACCGATGTGGACGTGTGATACCTTCGACAAGTTGCATCAGTGTCAAGCAAGACGTTGCGGTAAATTGTCAGATATGACCCCGCCCTCCCCCCCCCCACCTATCTGGGCCACTATGAACATCCCCACATACTATGCACAAGAGATACAAAAAATAAACTTGTTGTAGCGCGTTTGTCGACTGGAGTGCCTGATATTTTGTGTGGCCAAGTTGAAATATGCACTTTTTTCTCGCCCATGCCTTGAGAGGGACTGACAACAAAAATTTTTCTGCATGAGAGTTTTCACGTTTCTAGGAGTTATGCGTCCCTCCAGAAGCAACTTAGGGAAAAATGGTAGATTGCTGGGAAAAAAGGTCTGGGGTCCAACGGGGGGGGGGGGGGGAGGACATCTCCTGACGCAATTGTTCGCTCTGCTATTAAAAAAAGCGTGTTAGACCGTCGGATATAGTGAGGCTCCCAGACACTTAAAGGCACGATGGTGAGACGTGTTGCAAGCAGGATCTGACCGCTAAATTTATTGCGCGCACCACATATTTTTCCCATTAACATCCAGGAAAAGTGCTATCGCAGGGTACGTGGCTTCCTCCAGGAATAAGCCTAGGAAGGATGGGCAAAAGCTACGGGGAAAATTAAAACTATTCGTACAAGCTGAAGTTTTCCCTTACCCCCTCCCTGAGACCAAAAAACAATCGTCTGACGCGGGTTTACGTGTGCCGTCGCAATTCTCGTGTGCCTTACTTTACCAACCGCACTTTTTCTTGAGGCTTCAAAAGGTATTGTAGTTTTGTTTGCCGTTTGAAGGTGTTGCAGGTTTTAACATTTCTCTCGTTGGCAAATTGCGTCAGCAGATGTCCCCTGTAAGGCAACAGACCCTGAAAAGTTAATGCTCTTCTCATGTTTAACGAGATACCTCGTTCAAGTTTCATTCCAGAAGGTGCCCATGTCGCGTCTCTTTACTTCCTCCTATTTTTTTTAAGATTGTAGGAAAGCACCAACGAAGAAAAAAGCGAAAAAAAAACCCGAAAACTATGGAACTGAGCGCTTCCTTTTGTGAGCAGTTATGACGAAGAGACACTGGGCGTGTAGGTGAGAGAGCAGACACCCAGCTGCGCTGCAAATAGCGGCGCAGACAGTTCCAGCTATGTGACCAAGCACTATCTCCCTTGTCGCACACTTTCGAGAAAGATGAACGGCAAGTTCCCTAACTTTGCGACCAACTCTACCTTCCCAGAGAAAGGTTCGATGAGCTCACCTCAGCTGCGCAGCGTCCCTCCAAAGGCATGCCCCGAGATCAAATTGGTGTGGTTCTGCATAAGTACGAATGTACTGGTGCGAAATGGGCCGGCAGTAAAGAAAAAAGGAAAAGAATCCGTCGAAAACGCTTAGGTTAAGGGCTCACTCACCTTCCTAATCGGCTGTGCTAAGGGAATGAGAGACTAAGCGCGGAGAGGAGAGAGTATGAGGCGAGAGAGCGCTACAGATGAGAGAGCCAGACAACAGCCTGATAAGAGAAAAATCTGCAGCTTCAGCAGCTTTGCAAGGCCCAAGCGCTCTTGTCGGTTGGTTTCCGTGCACGGGAACGCCACATTTGTGATTGTCCTCTAGGGTCTATACTACAGACCGAAGGGAAGCGTTCACACGACCTCTGCCTGGGTTGTGCCTTTACTTTGATGTGTGCGTCTATCTGCTGCGCTTCACGGCAAGACCTGAGGAATGACTCATTTGGCAGATCAAGCCGCGCTTTCCACCTTAGAAGAGGTTCTCTCCCTATTCTCCCACAACAACTACAAGCTCTCACTTCATATTCAACACTCAGCTTCTTCAATCAATATTTATTTAACAGAGATATTGCCTGATTTTCGGAAAATATGCTCTTTAATATAGCGGAGCTACTCCTGCAAAGTCTGATGGAGCGCCGACAGTGAACGGCCGAGGAGCAGACATGGCTGTGACAGGAGCTGGTGGAAGATTGGTCGTGCTTGGATCGTGACTGTAAGGATTGTACGGTGGTGGCGGACTGGTTGAGTCCATGTACGGGACCACTCGATCCTTGTTCGATCTGATGATACGTAGAGACGACAAGGCCAGCTGAAATTCATGAGTAGTTGCAGATCGTCACTATGTAAGTTACTATAGTGACTTTGCCATCTGGACCTTAAAAGGGCGGTACTGAGTCTATCTTCGTATCATTTTTTTCCAGTGTGAAAGTAAACTTTTCCACAGATGGATGATGTTGTTTTATAAGCCCGAAAATGTAAGCGTGTGAAAAGTTTGGGGAACGCTAAAAGCATAGAAAACCAACCAAAACGGTTTTCCTCCATGTGGTCTTCTAATGCACATGGAGGAGCACACAATACACAGTTCAAAGACAAAACACGATAGAATTGGCGTTCATGAAAGAGAGGGATGGGTAGTCGGGAGGGTAGGCCGGTGCAGACTTTGTGAATCCAGCGGTTTGCTAGTAGCTAACGAC